TTTGCTGGGAGTAATGAGGTTCTCAGCACCGAACGCATGTGCCTGGCAGTAAATCTGATGCCCAGGAGCGTGTGAGCCCCTCGGGTCAGGAGGTGAGCGTTCAGTGCGTTGTTATTACAAAGAGGACTGCTGAGCAAAACGGGGGACAGCGTGGCAGTGAGGGGAAGGGAGGTGCAGAGCTGCCTGCTCTTGAAAGCGGGGGGAAAGGAAGGACAGGAACTGAGGACACGACGAGAGAGAGGAGAAAGGGGAGCTGTTTTAAAAGCGCGCTTTTTGCCGAGACCTGTTTGGCTCAATGGATAGAGCATTCGGCTTGGAGACTGAAGGGTCCCGGGTTCGATTCCGGTCAAGGGCATGTACCTTGGTTGCGGGCATATCCCCAGTAGGGGGTGTGCAAGAGGCAGCTGATCGCTGACTCTCTCTCATCGATGTTTCTATCTCTCTCCCTTCCTCTCTGTACAAAATCAATAAAATATATTTTAAAAAATAATAATAAAAAATAAAAGCACGCTTCTTTGTTCTGTTTGCACAGCGGATCCACCTGGACATTCGCGTCGGAGAGCATGACCTCGATGCCGCCATCGCTCAGGCCAAGGACAAAGTGAATGAAGTTAGCTTCAAGCTTGAACATCTAATTGAGCAAGTTGAGCAAATAGTCAGAGAACAAAACTATCAAAGGGTCAGTCTGCCTGTTCGGCTCATTTTCTCTCTTCCTGCCAGGAACCTAATTCCGCAGACCAAGTCCCTGACCGAGGAAAGAATAAACTGTGTGCTCCTTGGTCCTTCCCTCTGGGCCACACTGCGTGTCCTAACCACAGGCAGTTCTGTCCCCTGGTTAGCAGGTTCCTCTGGGGCCGGGGCTGCGGCCCACGCACCTTCGGGGTGTGAGTTTACAGAATGATGAGTGAGTGCTTTACGGATCTGAAGAGGCTGAGCATGCCCACGTCCTAAATCACAGTTTTGGTCCCCTGACAGCATGGATTTTCTGGGTCACTGCACCCACTGGACTCTGGCCAGACGTGGGCTCAAATCTGCTCCACCAAACACTAACCTCGTGTCGTCTCTAGGCCTCAGTTCCCTCATCTGGAAATGAGATGAGGGCAGGTGTGCCGGACACAGAGTCCAGCTTAGAGTAAAGAAAGAATTCAAACCATGAAAATATTGGGTAACGTTCACTTTGCTTAATAGAGACAGATGTATAGAGAAATAGATCAAGTACTGGATATTTTACACCAAAATACAAAAATGTCTTAAAAGGTTGGTTCTTAATCCTTGTCTTTGCTAACACCTGGCTTAGAAAATCAGAGGTGACACTTTGGTATAAGATACGAATTGAGAAACATCAAATACTTTGTTTTTTATTTGTTTGTATTTGTGTGTGTGTGTCTTATATCAAATACTTTGAATGCATACAGCACCTTCCCCTCAAACTCAGGCAGTAAGTTCTTAAGAAACTGCCCTGGTCGGTATGCTAAGTGGTTAAAGCTTCCGCTCCCCTCACCAAAGGGTTGTGGGTTCAATTCCCAGTCAAGGACATATTTCTGGGTTGCAGGTTTAATACCCTCCTCTCTCTCTTTCTCTCTCTCTACCTCTTCCCTCCCTTCCACTCTCTCTAAAAAAGATCAATGGAAATATCCTTAGGTGAGGATTAATAACAAAAAGCAAAAAAAGAAAAGAAAGAAAAAGAAACTAAACCTGCCTATTTCTCTTCTGTATAGGACCGTGAAGAAAATTTCCGAATGACCAGTGAAGACACAAATAGCAATGTTTTATGGTGGGCTTTTGCACAAACATTAATCTTTATCTCAGTTGGAATTTTCCAAATGAAGTACCTTAAAGACTTCTTTATAGCTAAGAAGCTTGTTTAAAATGCTAATAAAGTCAGATAACTACCTGCTGATTTGCATAACATTTGAGTTAATAAATCAAAATACATTCATAAATGTGTATTACAGCATATCCTTAAATAACATCATTTTGTTTAATATCCTTAAATAACATCATTTTGTTTAATATTTATATAAAATCCTAATATGCAAATAGACCAAACAGCAGAACTGAACAAGTGAACAAATCACTATGATGCTCACTGACCACCAGGGGGCGCACATGGAACATGGCAGGCATTGGCCATGGCAGGATGGTGGAGGTGACTGGGGTCACCAGACCAAGGTGGGGCCCTGGTCACTGTCATCGAAATGAGCCTCTGGTGTTATTGAAAATTCTTTGCTCCCATGTGCCGTGGTCCTGCCCGGCACTCCCACCCACTGCCGGTGCCCTGTGCTGGCCCTGATTGCTCAGTGCTATCAGCCAGTATGAGTGGCGGCTGCAGGCCCTGATTACCCCTGAGGAATTCTCCCCTCTCCCTGCTCCTGAGGGGTAATCAGGGCAGCAGCTGCTTGCACCCACTGCTGGCACTGACCCCAATGGCTCCACACTGTCAGCGGGTGTGAGAGGGACCGGCGCCATCAGTGTGTGGGGGCGGCGGCAACAGGAGCAGGGCTTCCAGCAGACAGGGGACCTGAGGCCATGGTGGGAAGGGCTGGGTAGGGGTGCGGAAGATGGGCCAAGACCTGCCTCTGTGCCCACCACAGCCTCGCAGCCCACAGTTCCTTTCAAGATGCAGGAATTAATGCACTGGGCCTCTGGTTTTGTTATAATGTTGATAAGAAAAATGTTTCATTATATGTCATTTTGTTTCAAGTTACAACTTCCAAGAACCTGTCAACGACATCACATGACTCCAGTCCTCAGAGGTTGAGGTTATAGAATTCTAACACTGGTAAGAGGCTGCTTTGAAACGTGGCTCCTGGGTTTGATGGGTAAGTGCATCATGAGTTCTTAGTTCAAACTGGGCGTATGCCAGCACTGCCCACCAGAAATGAAGTCTCAGCCACATGGCAAAGCTGAAGTTTTCTGCTTGTCACATAACGAAGGTTTTAAAAACCAGCAAAATTAACCCCAGTGACACATACTTAGTCCATTATATCAAAAATGGGCCAGCAGCCAAAACCGGTTTGGCTCAGTGGATAGAGGGTCGGCCTGCGGACTGAAAGGTCCCAGGTTCAATTCTGGTCAAGGGCATGTATCTTGGTTGAGGGCACATCACTGGTAGGAGGTGTGCAAGAGGCAGCTGACCCGATGTTTCTCTATCATCGATGTTTCCAGCTCTCCCTCTATTTTCCTTTCTGTAGAAAATCAATTAAAATTTTTTTAAATGGGCTAGCTCAGTGGATTGAGCATTGTTCAATGGACCAAGAGGTCCAAGGTTCAATTCCCAGTCAGGACACAGGATTGGGTTGGGCTCCATCCCCAGTGTGGGGCACGCAGGGAGCAGCAAATTAATGAATCTCTCTCATCACTGTTATTTCCATCTCTCCCTCTCTGAAATCAATTTTTAAAAAAGTATATTTTTTAAAATGTTACCACTGCTGGTGGGTGTGGCGAAGTGGTTGAGCACAGACCCCTGCACCACCAGGTCTTGGATTCCCCAACAGGGCACATGCCTGGGTTGCGCTCCACCCCCAGTAGGGGGCGTGCAGGAGGCAGCCCATCAATGTTGCTGTTTCTGTCTCTCCCTCTCCCTTCCTCTCTTTCTAAAATCAATACAAATGTGTTTTTTAATGTTACCACGTATATAGAAACAGCACAGATTGTCACCGCACTCCTTTTCCCATATGAGGGCTTGGGAACGTGGGTATTACTTTATATTGTTTTGCACTAGGCACACACCTCAGCTTGGACCAGGCCCATCTCAGGTCACGGCCATGTCCCAGGAGTCACAGCCACAGCTCAGGGGTCAGAGCCCCATCCCAGAGATCACAGCCACGTCACAGGGGTCACAGCCCCGTCCCAGAGGTCACAGCCACGTCTCAGGGGTCACAGCCCCGTCCCAGAGGTCACAGCCACGTCACAGGGGTCACAGCCCTGTCCCAGAGGTCAGAGCCACGTCTCAGGGGTCACAGCCCCGTCCCAGGGGTCACAGCCACGTCACAGGGGTCACAGCTCCGTCCCAGAGGTCACAGCCCCGTCCCAGGGGTCAGAGCCGCGTCCAAGGGTCAGAGCCGCGTCCAGGGTCGCAGCCACAGTAGGATGCCATCCTGAACCTGCCCGGACACCGCTCTCCTGCGCCGCAGCCACCGCCCAGGGCCTCTGAGGCGTGAACAGCTCGGCCCGCAGGCCGGCGGCTCCCACCGCTGCGGAGAGAATGGCCGCACGTGGGGCAGCGCCCGGCCCGGCCCGGCCCGGCCCTCCGCGTGCGCGAGGCGGCGCGGCCACTGCCCACGGCGCACCTGGCTCTCAGGTCCCCCCTCCTCCCTGCAACTCCCCGCCCCCGCCGCCCCGTCCCCGGCGCCCGGCCTCCCACCACCTTCCGGAACTCCTGGCCACCGTGCCCCGCCGGCCTGCCTGGCCCCGAGGACCACCTTGCACTCACAGTTGCGGACAGAGACAGAGGCGGGGCCCTGGTGCCCCCTGGGCCTCACCTGCCCCTGCGGCCACGCTGCCACCATACCTTTGCGAAGGCCCGGCCTGCGGCCCGCTGCCCTCAGGACAGTCCCGCGCCGGGCGGAGGTCCCGGTCCTCGGCGCTCGTTGCTCCCTCAGAAGCGGCCGGAGTAGGGGAGACAGCACCCCCCCCCCGCGCGCCCTCAGGCTGGGGGTCTCGCTGGGGTTTTGGCGGGAGCACCGGCCGCTGATGCGCATACGCGAGGCTGTGGGCGCAGGCGCAGAGCTGCCTTGGGTGCAGGCCCGGACTTACGGCCAGCTCGGGCCGCTGTGGCCTCACGTGCGGGCCGCGTGGGCGTGGCCGTCGGCGTGGCGTGTGCGTCGGCGTGGGCGTGGGCGTCGGCGTAGCGCGTGCGTCGGCGTGGGCGTGGTCGTCGGCGTGGGCGTGGGCGTGGGCGTGTGCGTCGGCGTGGCGTGTGCGTCGGCGTAGTGTGTGCGTCGGCGTGGCGTGTGCGTCGGCGTGGCGTGGTGGTGGTGGCGGCGGCGGCCGCACGCATGGCCAGCTGGGTGTTCTGTAATGGCTGCTTCCAGCCGCCCGGCCGGGCCTCGCGCTTCAGCCTCACCAGCTGCGGCCACGTGTACTGCGAGGGCTGCCTGAGCAGAGGTGGGCGCGCCGGGGGCCCGGGGCGGGGCTGCGGGGAGCAGGCCTCGGGGGCGCGGCGGGGCCTCGGGGGCGCGGCGGGGCCTCGGGGGCGCGGCGGGGCCTCGGGGGCGCGGCGGGGCCTCGGGGAGGCGCGGCGGGGGCTCGGCGGGGCCTCGGGGGTTCGGTGGGGTCTTGGTGGCTCGGCGGGGCCTGGGGGCACGGCGGGGGCTCGGCGGGGCCTGGGGGCACGGCGGGGTCTCGGGGGCGCGGCGGGGCCTCGGGGGCGCGGCGGGGTCTCGGGGGCGCGGCGGGGTCTCGGGGGCGCGACGGGGCCTCGGGGGCGCGGCGGGGGCTCGGGGGCGCGGCGGGGGCTCGGGGGCGCGGCGGGGCCTCCGGGGGTTCGGGAGGGCCTCGGGGGCGCGGTGGGGTCTCGGGGGGGGGGTGGGGGCGCGGCGGGGATGGGGGCTCGGCGGGGGCTCGGCGGGGCCTCGGGGGCGCGGTGGGGCTTAGGGGGCGCGGCGGGGCCTCGGGGGCGCGGCGGGGCCTCGGGGGCGCGGTGGGGCCGTCGGAGCGGGGCCATGGGGGGCAGGTCGGGAGTGGCGCGGCCAGTACACGGTGGGGCCAGTGGCAGGGACATGGGGACGGTGAGATGTCAGCGCTGCGGGGGCATGAAGGGACTGGGGGTGGGCGTTCCCCCCCACCCCGGACGGAGGGAAGGGGCGGTGAGCTGCGCTGGGGGGGAGGGGGGCGGGTGGAGACGCTGAAGCCGGTCACAACTCTTAGCCCGTAGGAACCCCGCAGAAAGAATGGGGGACACCCCGTAGGGCGGCAGAGCCCGCGGTGCTGGGACCCACTTCCCAGCTGGGTCAGGGGAACCGGCGGCAGCGGGTTTGGGGTGCGGGCTGCCGCCTGGGCCCCGCGGCTGGGGGAGGAAGCGAGGCTGCGGGGGGCGGGGCGGGGCCTGCGGGAGGAAAGGCTGGCGCCGGCGCCGCCCGCCACGCGGGGGAGCTGGGATCCCAGCGGAGCCCCAGGAGCAGGTGCTGCGGGCTCTGGGTTTGGGGCAGAGGCTGGGGAGGCAGTCTGTCCCCTCAGGGTCGCTGTTTGGGGGCATCTTTGGAAAACAGGGAAGAAAAGGATTGCTAGTTGTATAAATCTTCCAACTCCATCCAGAGTCTCACCCACTGTCTGAAGGTGAAAAAAATGTAAGGGCCAAAATCCTGTTAGTCTGTATTTATGTGTAAAAGCACTGCCGACCATGATAATACATCGTCTGCTCTTTTTTCATATAGGTAAAAAGGATGAATGCTTGATTTGTAAGCTTCCTTGTCAAACAGTTTTACTTTCGAAACATGTAAGTTGAAAACTGCGGCATATACTCTGAATATTTGTTTTAAAATATTTTATTGATTTTTTACAGAGAGAAAGGAAGAAGAGGGAGAGTCAAAAACATAGATGAGAGAGAAACATCGATCAGCTGCCTCCTGCACACCCCTCACTGGGGATGTTCCCACAACCAAGGTACATGCCCTTGACCGGAATGGAACCTGGGACCCCTCAGTCTGCAGGCCAATGCTCTATCCTAACTGGTTTTGGATACTCTGAATATTAATCACCGTGTTTCCCTTCCCATTTGAGATTCAATTTTTAGTCACTTGTGGTGTCTAAAATTTTCGTTCATTTTGTCAGTTAACTGGAAGGTCTTACAGAATCTCTAAGTACCGTTCGGATTTGGTTTGGGAGACTTCATACAGCCTTCTTAGCTGTAGATTGGCCTATTGGTCATTTGCTGTGCAATGTGCCTGGGAATGAAAATGTGTTGCATGGATTTGTTCAGTGCAATACAAGCTCCTTAAGGTGATGGAGCCCTGGCCGGTGTGCTCACTGTTTAGCGTGTCAGCCCATGCACCAAAGGTTGTGGGTTCAAATCCCAGTGGAGAGCACATACGTGGGTTGCAGGTTCAATTTCCAGCCCCAGTCAGGACATGGGAATTGAACCAATCAATCTCTCTCACATCAATGTTTCTCTCTCTCTTTCTCTTTTTCTCTCTTCCCCTCTCTTATTCTTCCCCCTTCCTCCCTCCCTTCCACTCCCTCTAAAAATTAATAGAAAAAATACCTAGGTGAGGAGTAACAACAAAAAAAGGTGATCAAGTTTGGTTTTTCACAGCTGTTGAATCTAGTTAAGAGGATTGGAGGAAAGTAGGTTTTAAATGGAGTGCTGTTGCAGTAGGCTTAAAACTGTCTTTTGTTCTCTTTGTAAAATACATGAATTTAACTTGTTTGCTTTAAATTTAGTTACACATAATTGTCCTCTTTACACTTAGGCTCCCCAGATGTGTATTTGACCTGATGTTTTAACCTATAACAATTGCTTTTTTTCTGATTATAAATGTAAAACAAGTTACACATTATGCGAATGATCAAAGATCACGGTGGAGGAGGCAGAAGCCCCAGATACTATTGCCCAAAGACAGCAGCAGGAGTGGAGCGTCCAGGCTGTGCTACTCGGGTTTATTCTTATGAAAATGGTGTTTTCTCAGGCGACATGTTGTGGGCACACCCACACTCTGTAAAGGTGACTGCATAGCCCTTTAAATATGTTTTTATTGTTTTTTATTTTATTTTTATTTTTAGAGAGAGGAAGGGAGAGGGATAGAGAGAGAGAAACATAAATGGGAGAGAAACATCAATGGGCTGCCTCCTACACACCCCCTTCTGGCATGAACCCGCAAACCCAGGCACGTGACCTCTTGGTTCCTGTGTTAATGCCCAACCACTGAGCACACCAGCCGAGCACGATCCAGTCTTGTCTATGAACTTACACCTGCTGGCCTCCTATGTGCACCTGGTAACTATCGGCTCAGCTGTGGGTCTGTCCACAGTCCCTCTGTGTTTGTCTCCCCTGCTCAGCCTGGACTCGGTGCTGTGTGGAGCACAGACACCGGGACTCTCCCCTGACTTCAGGGTCAATGGAGTGTTTCCGTGAGGTGCTGTGTGCGGCGTGGGTTTTTTGCTAAGTTTTTATCATGAACGGTGTTGAGCTTTACCTAAGAGCTTTTTTTTACTAAATGGTGTTGAGCTTATAATTTGGTTTTCCTGCTCTATTTTATCAGTGTGGCAAATTGCATTTGCTTTTTGAGCTTGAAACCCACACTAGCTCCCGGAATAGGTCCGTCCTGGTACAGGGCAGCTGGTGCGTGGGTCTGGATGAGCTGGACGCCGTGCACCTGTGTCCACGTGGGCTGCGTGTGGCCCTCTCTCCCCCAGGCCCTCTCCAGGCTTCGGGGCGGGGCGAGCCTCGTGGAAGCAGCTGGGCCTTTGTCCGCTCCTCTCGGCGATGGGCTTATTCGTAAAATGTGGTGGCATTCTCAGGTGAAACCGTCTGCACGGGGAAGGGATGTGGGGAAGGTTCTCACAGGGACTTCACTTGTGTGCAGGCATGTGACTGCTCAGCGTGCCTCCCTCTCCTCAGGCGACCCAAGTGAGCGTCCACCAGAGTGCGGCTCTTCATCTCAGTGTCTGAACATCCTGCCCCACCCGGGTTCAGGCCTTGGGGTCTTAGTGTCGGAAGGTCTGCAGGGAAACGCGTTTTTTCGTTTTAATGGTGGTTATTGTGCCTTCTCTCCTTTTCTCAAATAGTCTTGTCGAGTACTTGTAGACCTTTATTTGTGTTTTCAAAGAACTAATGCTTGGTTCTGTGTATCTTTATTGTACACCTGTTGTTTGCCCTTTTGCTTTCTCTCTTCTCATTGCTTCCGTTCGCTCTGTAAGATGGTGCTTACATCACTCCACACCTGTCTTCCTCCTGTTTCCACCCCAGGCTGGCCCTCCGTCTATGCTCATCCTTGTCTGAACCAGACAATTCACATTTCTCCTCAATTATTCCTGTGACCGTGGGTATGTTGATTAATTTAGAGATATTGGGGGTTGTAGTTACCATTTCTACTAGCCTTCACTGATGCAGGAAGTACCCACCGTAAAAGGGCACAGTTCAGCGAATTCTGCACAATCTGAGCGACTCGCCCGGATCGGGGACACCTGAGCACACACACAGCTGCCTTTAAAGTCAGACAGGATCCCCCCCTCCCACCCTCCCGTCCTCCGGGAGGGCCTGGACGCTCTGACTCCACTTCCTCCTTCCCACAGTTCCTAGTGCTGCCCGAGCACCTTTTTCTCTGCCAGAGATGTCCAGCCCACAGACATCGCTGCCCAGATCGCTGCCGAAGCCCAGGTTCCCACAGCCCCGCTTTCTCCGGCTCCCCGTTCCCAGTCTCCCTGACGCCCCTGAGGGTCACTTTCTGCCCTGGGGAATTCCTTTTGTCAGTCCTTCATTGAGGCCATTGGTGACGGCTCTCCCGAGGGCCCCTGGTTGCCTGCATTGTGATGCATATTGCACTGGTTAGCCTGCTTTCCTGGGCATGAATGCTTCCTGTGTCTGGATGACATGCTCCGTTTGCTGTGGCTTTTCACGGGTTGGCTGTCCTGTGCAGGGGCTGTTATCAGAGTGGAGGTGCTCAGCCTCTGCTCCCTACAGCCAGTCCCACTCAGGGTCCCTGTCCACGTAGAGTGAAGCACACCTGCCTGTCCACACGGGATCCTGTCCACGGGTGTCTTCACTGTGTGATAATCTGTGTGTAACTTGCTCTCTTCCCGAGCACAGGCCGCCACGCTCTGTGGGCGCTCCCATTTCCTGTGGCCTGGCCCCCAGGTCCTCAGAAGGCATGCTCTCTCCTGTGTCCGGAACCAGGCTCTGAGGTGTGGGGCGAGGCCAGGGTGGCAGGCTGAGTTGGTGCAGAGCAGGGCTCACGGGCACCTGGAGCCCCTGCCCCACCTGAGGTCCACCTGCGTGTGACTTGCAAGGGTCGGTCCAGGGACCCAGCTGTCCAGACACCCTGTGTGGCCTCTCCCTCCAAGGTCTGGCGGCGGCTCAGGGCCAGGCACAGCCTTCCAGGACATTTTCTAGCTTCAAGTCCATCAGGTGTCCTCCCTGCGCTTAGCTTTACTTGGTTTGGGTGGGACCTGGGCACTCCGGGCACTGAAGAGGACGTGCTCACATTCCGATCTGATGCCCGGGCCATGATGCTGGTGCCGGGGCCGGGGCCAGGGCCAGGCTGCGGAGGGGACGGCTCTCCGGCATCTGCTGGGTCTGCTGTCCTCATCCGGGGCTGTTTGTCCCCGCCTGTCCCTGTCCCTCTCAGGGCGTCTCCCACGCCTCTGCCCCAATGATTGTCACTGTGGGTGCCGGGGAGTGGGGGTGGGGTGCTGGGGGGATGACTCGGAGTGGGCACCACTCTGAACCCGCTTCCCTCGAGTTCATGTTGCTTCTTGAAGGACTGACTGCTGGGAGGCTCCTCAGCACTCCCTCCCTGACGCGGTGTTTCCTCTGTGCTTGGCTTCCCCTCCGCCCTGAGCCCTCCCCAGAGGCCTGGGCTCCTTCTGACAGGGAGGGACCTGTGGCCCAGAGGGCTCCATCGCTGCCCTCACCCACAGCCCCCGGTGCCCCGTGCCTGCTGGCGACAGCGAGGGAAGCGCTGGTCCCGAGGCTCACTCTGGGCCTCCATTTGCCTCTGCATCACGCCCTGAGCGTGTGCCAGGGCAGCGAGCAGCTGGAGTCTTTCTCTTCCAGACGGACCCAGGGATCCAGGCGCTGTTTGTGGGCATAGACGGCCTGTGCAAGAAGTACTCCAAGGAGACCTCCCAGGTGCGTGGGCGCCTTCCCAAGGAGACCATGGGAACCCATTTCCTGAGGACCCAGGGCCAGTGATCTCGCTGGGATCCTTTTGATTTTTGTCCAAACGATTTTGGACCCGGGGTGACAGGTCCTTTGGTCAGGACGCCCGGCTGATGGCAGGCGTCTGGGTCATGGCGCTGTGGCTGCAGTATCTGACCCTGAGCCTCTTGGCTGCAGGCGTGCTCCCCAGCCCCAGCCTCTGAGGTTGAGTCAGTCCCCAACCTGGTTCCGATGCCAGTCTGACTTCCTGGTCCATCAGGCTGTCCAAGGAGCTGTCCGGAGAGCAGCCCTCTCCGCCCGCCCATCCTGCCTCCTCCTGATAGCAGTGCTGCCCTCCCCACCCAACCTCCCCACCCCACCCTGAAGAGGCCGAGCAGCAGGCTGAGCGGCCACACTCAGGCCTGGCCTTTCTCAGCCGCTGGCTTGTGCTCTTGGAGACAGACATGTCAGCCCCAGGACTGCCCTGCTCTGGGGGCTGCTCTCGGACACAGTGCCCACAGGGTCAGGGCTGTGCCCCTCCACCCTGCAGACTCCCAGGGGCCTGGATGCCCCAGCACACGGCCTGGGCACAAGGCAACAGCCAAGCAGGGACATGGACCGACTTCGTTGCACATCCCCAGGGGCCTCTCGGGCCAGGTCCCCGGGACCCAGAAGCTACGGTGATGGTGAGCTGGGACACCCTCCCCATAGCACACAGACCTGCAGGCAGAGTCTCGGGCAGCCTCAGGAGGAATCAGGGTGCCTCCATTTAGGGGGTGGGGGTGGGGCCCACACCCTGCCCAGGTGGAGAGAGGCCATGGAAGCAGCCAGGCCTCTGGGCGTCATGTCTGTCCCAGTGCCACCTGGGATTCCAGAGTCTAGACATCAGGGATGGCAGCTCACTTGCTGTTACTTTACATTCGTCTCAGTATTAACTTCTAGTGGGGGAACGTCGACAGGTAAAACCCACCCAAGCAGAGCTCTTAGGGGTCCTCAGTAACTTGAAGGTGAGCCTGGGACCCTCCCACCCCCTGTGTCCATCAACCTGCTCCACCTCCGAGGTGCAGGAGCCCGAGGGGCGCTCCCGCTCTGTGTCTGACGGAACAGTGCTTCCCTCCCCGGTCAGACGGCTGGCAGCTGGGACCGCTCCAGACCGCGTGCACGGGAGCCTCCGGGCCCGGCACAGCTTCCGCCCACCTGGCCCTCTCCACGTGCGTGTCACGGGCGGGGGGTGGGGGGGAGAGAGAGACAGTGCCCTGTGTGTTCCTGGCCTCAGTGGGGCGTGCTCCCCGGTGTGAGCGTGCCCGCTGATTCTGCGTGCGGCGGGGTGACAGGGTCGTGAAGACACAGGCGGCCCGGGCCAGCATGCAGCAGGGGTGTGGAATGCACGGCGTGGCTGCCACTGCAGCAGCCGACCTATGTCATCTTCCCAGATTTCAGAATTTCAAGAGAAACACAGAAAGAGGCTGTTGGCCTTCTACAGAGAAAAGGTAAACCCCATCTCCACTTCATGTGACCAACCCCACGTCTCAGCGGGGAGGGCTGGGGGTGGGCATCTGTCCCATGGACCCTCGGCCCCTTGCACGGTTCCTGTCTGCCCAGCGATGCTCAGGGCCAGTGGTCACCATGGTTCACTTTTTTTTTTTTTTTTTTTTAATATATTGATATTTTACAGAGAGGAAGAGAGAGGGATAGAGAGTTAGAAACATCGATGAGAGAGAAACATCGACCAGCCGCCTCTTGCACACCCCCTACTGGGGATGTGCCCGCAACCCAGGTACATGCCCTTGACTGGAACCGAACTTGGGACCTTTCAGTCCGCAGGCCGACGCTCTTATGGTTCACTTCTGACCATGGTGCCCCCCCAACCTCACCTCGCACTTTTCCATGAAGCGACTCTGATGAGCGCTTACTTGGGAGGCTCGAAATGCCTGCTCATTTCCCCGACACACACCCTCCTTCCCTGATGGTGAGCCACGTGAAGGCAGGGACGCTCCGAAAGGAAGCTTCATTCAAGGCAGCGTTAGCTGGAGGGGACAGGCCTCCTGGAGGGACAGGGACCAGCAGAGGGCAAAGGGGCAAGGTCAGCTTCCTGTGCTGAGGCCACGCCCACCGGACACACCCCAGGGCCGCTGCCTCACCTGACTGCTGCCTCACCTGGCCGGGAGTGATGTCTGGGCCTCAGAGCACCTTAGACAATTCTCTATCGGTCATTCCATCGTGTTTTTTAAAAAATGGAAGGTTATGGAATGAGTAGGGCCTGGCTTTGAAGCCACAGATCCTACAACCACACCCTCGAGTGTCCATCGACCTCTCTGTGTGCCAAGGGCAGGTGTGAGCCGTCACTGCCCTTAGGCCTGGCCCTCCAGTGCTGGTGTCTCCTGCTGGCAGCCCTCCTGACATGTCCCAGGACAGGCCTTGGTGGGTCTGCCCAGAGAGAACGTGTCACTGCCCAGCCCCGGCGCCTGTGGGTAGAATCCGCACCTGGCCACCACCCATCTGCCCCTGCAGCTCCTCCCAACTCAGGTGTAAGAACTGAGGGCCTGTTCTTTGCACTGTCACTTGTAACCGAGTCCCTGCGTGTGTCAGATCGACAGGCTGGAGGAGTCCCTCAGGAAGGCCATGCTGCGGGTGGAGCAGCTACAAAGGTAGGTCTCCTCCCACACCCTCCCCCCTCCCCCACGCCCCAGAGCCCAGCCAGGCATCTGCTCGCTGCCTCCCAGGCCACGGCCCTCGGCAGGGCCCTGCTCCCCAGAAACTGTCGGGCCGAGGGGCGGTGGCCGTCTGGGGACGGGAGAGGAGAGCACACAGCAGAGAGGAGTGGCTTCCCAGGGACATCCTGTCCTCTGGCTCATGGAGGGTGAGCATAGGCCGCTGTCCGTGCACAGTGTAGGGGTCAGGGAGGGCAGTGCTGTGGGACGGCTGAACACTCAGAAGCCTTGTGTGTGTGACACGTTCCCGTGAAGGCAAGGCCGGAGGGGCTACTGTCGGCCGGCTGTGTGTGCAGGTGCCGCCGGTTCCCCGGGCTGCAGTGGAGCTGGGCACGCTGTTCCGCTCAGCCGCTGCCCACATGCCGCTAGCGTGGGCTGCTTTCCGAGGGCGCACCCAGCCCTCGCTGGGACAGGCCCCCCGGGGTGCTGCTTGGAGCCAGACCAGGTGCAGGGGCGCACAGGGCCCTCACATTTGTCCCCCTTTGTACAACCTGCTTTCCCTCTGGGCAACCATCTCATCATTCTGGAACGTCCCAGCCATCCCTTCCTGGCTGTGGCCTTCCGAGTCCCAGCAGTGTTGTCTGTGCCTCCTGCCAGCAGGCTGGCCCTCCCCAAAAGGCCCCTGACGCCTCCGGGCGTCCTTCAGGCTCCAGTCCTCCTGCTCTCGCCCCTCCCTCGAGCTCATGTCCCTGCTCTGTTCAGCCGTCGGGCCATCTGGTCACTGTGTGTGCCGGCCGCCTGTGTCCGCCCAGCGGAGCGCTCCTGCCGTGGCGGTCCCTGCAGCGTCCTCTGGGTCTGGGGTCGGGGAGGGACTGAGGGGAATAGTTCTACGGTTTACCAACTCCTTTCCCATCTGTTCAGCATGAGGCCGTCCCAGCGCACAGCCTTCAGCGCGATGCGGAGTCCGGTGTCTAGTAAGTGGTGGCCCACTGCTCCTTTCCGAGCCGAGGACACGCCAGGGCAGAGCCCAGGGCAGGCGCGCCCTCACCCTACGCTGTTTTGTCACAGCTTCCTCAGCAGAGCCCCGTGGACAACTCCCCGGGCCACCCGCCTCCTCCGCCTCCTCCGAGAGGTGTGTGCGCAGGGCTGGGGGGACGGGGGGACTGGGGCTGGGGGGACGGGGGGACTGGGGCTGGGGGGACTGGGGCTGGGGGGGACGGGGGGGACTGGGGCTGGGGTCAGCGGGCCACACAGGAGCTGCAGGGCCTTCTTTGCCTTCCCACGCTGCTCCTGCCACCTCCACCCTCCAGGTCCCCAAGTTCTGACCTCAGCACAGGAGCTCACCCGCAGCGGCTCTTACTGCCGAGGCTGGGGGCTGGCCCAGCCCTGTCCCTGTGGCCTAGCGGCAGGTGGAGGATGGTCCTGTGACTTGGCTGGGCCTCTCCTCTCCACTGGGGTCAGGATGCCCAGGGCGGCTCAGAAACAAATCTGCCACAGGGGACACCCCTGGCGGCCGGTCCCTGAGAGCATCCCTCCTCACCTGCTTTTCCTTGAAATGCTGGGAGCTGGGTCCACACGCAGCACAGGAGGCCCTGGCGGCACCTCCGAGCTGCCTGTGCCTGTGTCCCCAGGGCAGCCGGGCTCTGGCACTGAGCACTCAGCCAGAAAGTGACTCAGCGATCGATTCCCTCCTCCTATCCTTTCCCTCCCTGCCTGCCCTTTCTCCTAAGGGGAAGCCAGGCATGCTTCTCTGTCAGTCTTGAGCAGTAAGCAAAGGAGCTGGCCCTGCGAGCGCTGATTGAGTGCAGTGGGCCCAGCAGGAGCGGACTGGCGGCAGACGAGACGCACACCTCCAGGCGCCTGGAGGACCGGGAGGAGCAGACATGGCAGAGGAGGCCGTCTGCCCTGGCCCACCAGGCGGGGCCTCCCCAGAGCTCAGAGCCCGCCCCCCCCTGGGCTGGGTTGGTCTGACAGAAGCTGAGAGGGAGGTGACTGAGGGCAGCGTGAGGAGGAGCATGGAGACGGGCGTCCTGGGCACCGTGCGCGTCAGGCGTCCGGGCTCAGGCAGTAACTGTCCGCTGCCGTTCACAGAGTGGAGCCCATGGAGGTAGACCTCACGCCTTCCCCGCTGAGAAGGGTGAGTCATCTGGTCCCCTGTATTGCCTGCACCTTCAGCGCCTCCTGCTTCTCAATGCTAACGACCGTGGCCATTTCTTCCCGACCGTGGCCGCTCAGTCCCGACTGTGGCCGCTCAGTCCCGACCATGGCTGCTCCTTTCCGACCGTGGCCATTTCTTCCCAACCACGGCCGCTCCGTCCCAACCGTGGCCACTCAGTCCCGACCATGCTGCCACAGGAGGCAGGGCCACACTGGCATGGGACACGTGGTGTGCTGCCTCCATCTGGGCAAGTGGTGGGAGGGGGCTGAGTGAATCCAGGACCTCTGACCACCTGTCGGTGAGGAGGTCAGCTTCAACGAGAGAGAAAACGGGTGGTGCTGGCGTGTGCCTGGCTTGGAGCAAGCCTGGCATGCGGCCCCTGCCAAGGTAGTACCAGGCCCTGTCATCAGCACCTGGGTTTCCAGGTGACAGTTTTGCACCAAAAATGAGGATTCACTCGGGATTTTAAAACGTCTAACTCTTTGTCCTGAAATTACTAGAAGCACCTGGCGAGCCCTGTCCGCTCCCTGCTGTAGTGCCAGGGACACTGGGGGCAGTGGGCACCCTGTCTCACGGAGCCCCGCCCAGCAGCCCCGGCCAGGCAGGGCGCAGGCTGGCGGAGCGGCTCTCGTGACCCGCTGTCCTCTTCCCGCCCTTAGCCCGAGCCAGCCGGCCCCACCAGAGTGTCCCTGATCAGTCCTCCCCAGGACGGACGCATGGGTGAGTCCCTCCCTCACCCAGACCTGAGGGTGTGTGATCACGCCCTCCAGGCTGTGCCCAAGGGCCGCCGTCAGCCGTGTCCGCCCATCGCTTCACAGCGTCCGGCGCCTGCTCAGCGGGGACTCGGCCTCGCCTGGTGGCGCAGGGAGACGAGG